GGAGGTGTGGGGGGGCTCTCTCTGTCCATCCGGGGGTGGACGGGGGATTGGCTCCGTCTGTCTGTTCCAGGCGGAGGGGGATCTGTCTGTCTGTCCTGGGGTGAAAGAGAGGGGAGCTCTGTCTTTCTGTCCCGGGGGGCGTGGGGGTGTCTGTCCTGGGGTGGAAAGAGGCAGAGGGACTTGTCTGTTCTGGGGGAGGTGGTGGGCTCTATGTGTCCTGGTGTGTGTAGGGAGGTGTCTGTCTGTCTGGGCGTGGGGCAAGGAGAGGTTCTGTCCATCCTGGGGCAGGGGGGAGGAGGTCCATCTGTTTGCCTAACGGGCAAAGCGAGGGTGTCTGTCTGTCCTGGGGCGGCGAGGGGGTCGGTCTGTTAAGAGGAAGACAGTGAGGGGGGTCTGCCTGTCGGGCACGGGGACGGAGAGCGGGGAGGTTGGTCAGTCTGTCCATCTGTCTAACAGGCAATGCAAGGGCTGCTGTCTGTCCTGGGGCAGTGAGGGAGTCGGTCTGTCTGTCTAGGAGAACAGGAAGAGGGGAGGGAGGTCTGTCTTGGGGGGAGGGCAGTGGGGGGGTCAGTCTGTCTGTCTGGAGGGTCATTGCCGGGGGGGAGCGCTGTCTGTCTTGGGGATACAAGGAGGGGAAGGTCTGTGTGTCTGAAGGGCAGTGCCGAGGGTGTGTGTTTGTCTGTCTGACCCCCCCTTCATCCCACGCAGCCCCTGCGCCTGAGGCCGCCCCGTGATGAGCTCCAAGGCCAAGCGGGTGCTGCCCACCCGCCCTGAGCCCCCCAGCCTGGAGCAGATCCTGGCCGACGTGCGGGGCACCCACCCGGCCGATCCCGTCTTTCTCCTCCCCGCCGAGCCCTGCCGGGACCACGACATCTCCCCAGGTGAGCCCCGGGGTGAGGGGAGAGCGAAGGGGGGCTCCGCCAGCCCCACTGAGCACCCCCCCGTGCTCTCGCTTCCCCCCGCAGGCTCCCACAGCCCCACCAGGCAGGAGGGCAGCGCTGAGGAGAGGG